TGTTTTATTTGTCAAAAAGAAGGATGGATCTTTCCGGATGTGCATTGATTACAGAGAACTCAACAAGCTGACCATCAAAAACCGTTACCCCCTCCCTCGAATCGACGATTTGTTTGATCAACTACAAGGTGCTACGTACTTCTCAAAGATCGATCTTCRTTCAGGATATCATCAGATGAGAGTTCGCGAAGAAGACATTGCTAAGACGGCGTTTAGGACTCGATATGGTCATTATGAGTTTTTAGTCATGCCTTTTGGATTAACAAACGCTCCGGCAATTTTCATGGATTTGATGAACAGAGTTTGCCGACCATACCTAGACAAGTTCGTGATTGTGTTTATAGACGATATATTGATTTACTCACGAAATAAAAAAGAGCATGAGCAACATTTAAGGTTGATCCTAGAATTGCTCAAGAAGGAAAAGTTGTACGCCAAACTTTCCAAATGCGAATTTTGGATTTGTGAAGTACATTTTCTGGGCCATGTAGTCAATGAGAAGGGAATCCATGTTGATCCAGCTAAGGTCGAGGCTATCAAGAAGTGGGAAGCCTATAAAGACACCAACAAAGATTCGTCAATTTCTTGGTTTGGCAGGTTATTATAGGCGATTCATTGCAAACTTCTCTAAGATCGCACAACCACTGACGACCCTAACACAGAAAGATAAGAAATTTATTTGGGGCGAGAAGCAGGAAGAAGCGTTTCAGACACTTAAGCACAAGTTGTGTAATGCGCCGATTCTAGCATTACCAGAGGGAACGGATAACTTTGTGGTATACTGCGACGCCTCACATCAAGGACTGGGGTGCGTATTGATGCAAAAGGACAAAGTTATTGCGTATGCGTCCAGACAACTAAAAGTCCATGAAAAGAATTACACCACCCATGACTTGGAACTTGGAGCAGTGGTATTCGCACTCAAAATCTGGAGACACTACCTCTATGGTACAAGATGCACTATCTTCACCGACCACAAGAGCCTTCAAAACATTCTCGATCAGAAAATATTGAATATGAGGCAGAGGAGATGGGTTGAATTACTCAACGACTATGATTGCGAAATAAAGTACCACCCAGGAACGGCTAACGTTGTAGCAGATGCTCTGAGCAGGAAAGAAAGGGTGAAGCCATCGAGAGCACGAGCTATGGGAATGTTGGTACAGACAAGCTTAAAGGCTCAAATTCTHRAAGCCCAAGAAGAAGCTCTGAAGGCAGAAAATCTGAAGGACAAGACCCTGCATCAATTAGAGAAAAAGTTTGAAGTACGATCAGATGGGATACGCTACTTTAAAGATAGAGTATGGATTCCAAAGGTCGACCATCTGAGATCGACAATCATGGACGAAACACACCAATCAAGGTACTCAATTCACCCAGGAACAGATAAAATGTACAAAGGGTTAAAAGAGCACTATTGGTGGCCAGGAATGAAGAAAGATGTGGTCCTATACGTAAGTAAATGTTTGACTTGTGCGAGAATCAAGGCGGAACACCAGAAACCATCCGGTCTTCTACAACAACCAGAAATTCCAGAATGGAAGTGGGAGCAGATCTTGATGGACTTCGTGACCAAATTACCCAGAACTAGAAAAGGGCACGACTCGATTTGGGTAATTGTGGATCGACTCATGAAATCCGCACATTTTCTACCTATTCGAGAAGATTT